ATTTGTTTACATTGGTGTTATATATGGAAAAAACAGAAAAATTAATGTTTGCATAGTACACCTTTTCCCACCCTTTTACTTTTGACCTACTGTGTCTTGAGGCAGATTTTTTGGTCCATTCTGTCAATCTCTGTCCTTTGAGATTAGTGTATTTAGCTAACTTACATTTAAGTAATTATTGATATGTTAATTCTGCCATTTTGTCATCTATTTTCTAGGATTTCCCCTGGTTCTCATTTCTGCTTCTCTTCTTTTGCCTTCCTATAGGTTATGTTAAATTTTTAATTCCTTACTGATTTATTTGTAGTGTTTTTGAGTGTGTCTCTTTGTATGATTTTTCTAGTGTCTGGTCTGAGTGTTACAATATGCATTTGTGATTTATAACTGTCTACTGGTATCAGCATTTTACCACTTTAAATGAAGTGTGGAAAACTCACTTTTATTTAGGTCCCTTTAACTTCCATACTTCTAAATATTGGCATGAATATCAGGTGGCTTTATAATTGCTTTGAACATCAAATATAGTTTATAACACTCATGGGAAAAAGGATAGTCTATTGTACGTACCCATGTGTTTGCTCTTCACATTTTTCCATCTTCCTTCCTGACACTCTAAGGTTCTTTTTTTAAAAAAACATTTCCTTTATGTTTGAAAAACATTCTTTACCTATCTTTAAACATAGGTCTTCTGATAGCAGCAACTTTTTTTGGTTTCTCTACTTTGGAGAATGATTTTATTTCCCCTTCATTCTTTAGGATAGTTTCATGATATATAGAAATCATGAAAGTCACTTCTTTTTTTAAGCACTTGAGAAATACTGTGCCATTGCCTTCTGGCCTCCATGGTTTCAGTAAAAATCTGCTGTCATCAGACTTGGTGTTCTGTAGGTAATGTATTGCTTCACTTTGGCTACTTTCAAGATTTTTCTTTTGAGTTGTTGGGTAGGCGGCCCTTTTCACAAGTTTACTTATGATTTACCTAGGTGTGGATTTAGTTGGGTTTATTCTGTTTGGGCGTTCATTCAGCTTCTTGGATCTGCAGATTTGTGTCTAGTCAAGTTAGAGAAGTTTTTAGTCATTATTTTGTCAAGCAGTCTTTCAGCCTCCCCTTTTATGACCCTGGTGATATGGAAGTTGGATTTTTTCTTATTGTCCCACAGGTCACTGAGGCCTGTTAAAATTTGTGACTTCTAGTATTCTGTACTTAAGTTCATTGATTCTGTCTTCCACCAATTCCATTGTACTATTGAGCCTATGTAGTTTTCAAAATATCATTATATTTTTCAATTTTATAATTTCCATTTTAAAAATAACTTGATTTCTTTACTGAGTTTTTTTTACCTTTCATTTTAAAGAGAATTTGCATTGATTGTTGAAGTATTTTTATGACAACTGTTTTACAATTCTTGTATGATCCCAACATATGAATCATCTTGGTGCTGGCATCAATTTTTTTTTCTCAGTGTAGTTGCAACTTTCTTGGTTTTAGGTATAACAGGTAATTTTCAGTTGTATCCTGAATATCTTATATATTATGTAATAATGATGGGTTCCCTTTACATTTTTTTATTTTAGCAGAAAGTCACACTGTTTAGGTTTAGTATGTAGATCTTGTCCTACTTTTTTGGGCTATGGTTCCAATAGCAGCTTAAATTTTCATAGACTTTGAGGTACTGTTGGATTACGGTCTGCTTGGATTGTGTGGTCTCTGCTAGTCCTGCCTGAGGAAAGCAGAGGATTTTCCCTAGGCCAGCTGCCAGGTATTTCTGGGTAGGGGAATGGTGTGGTAGGATTCCCTTATTGGTGCCCCTTGCCCATTTCAAAGTCTCTGGGTAGAGGAGGAAAGTCTTAGGTCATGGGAACAAAGAGTTTCCCCAGACTGTCTGCTGTACCTTGGTCTCTTTGCAGATTTTGCTTGTCTACCTCTATGTCTCTCAGTGGAAGAGTGTTTCAGCGGTGGGAAGGAGAATGCTCCTCTTGGCTGCTCTTTAATGGGACTCCCAATCAATATCCCTCATTGGGAGGTTATGGCAATTCCCCTTGCTGATGACATGGGCTACCCTGATGTTACCAGAGATTCTTCTTTGATCCACGGAAGGAATATGCCTCCCTAGGCTGCTGACTTGCCAGGTGGGGGTTGGGAAATGCAGGCTCTGTGCAACCTCCTTCAGTTAGGTGGGAAACATGTAAAGCCCTGCTGCTGTGCTGTTTCTCCAGCCCCAGGGTCCCTAATCAGCTTGCAGTCTTATTACCACCCTTCAGAGTGTCTTGTACTATTTCCAGGCTCTATAATTGTGCTTAGTGTGGAGGAACAAGAACAAGCAGGACCATGATATCCTGTCCTGATTGGAAGTCAAAATGTATTTTAAAATGTCTTTTTTTTTTTTTTTTTTTTAATGGAGTCTCACTCTGTCTCCCTGGCTGAAGTGCAGTGGTGCAATCTTGGCTCACTGAAATCTCTGCCTCTTGGGTTCAAGCAATTCTCTGCCTCAGCCTACCAAGTAGCTGGGATTACAGGTTCCCATCACCATGCCCAGCTAATTTTTATATGTTTAGTAGAGATGGAGTTTCACCATCTTGGCCAGGCTGGTCTTGAACTTGTGATCCACCTGCCTCGGCCTCCCAAAGTGCTGGGATTACAAGCATGAGCCACCATGATCAGCCTTTAAAACATCTTTTTAGAAGCATCAAATTGCCCAGAAGGCTATGAAGAATTACTGGGGTGAGATTCAGAGAAGAATGAAATCTTAAATGAGTCTAGCATTCAGGACTATTTTGTCCTGGGCCATTGTCCTTGGGCATTGGCCAATCTGGAAGAAAGCTGTAAGCCTTGTGTAGCCGAATGTCAAAAGTTGGACTACAGAGCCTGCTAAGGGTGTAAGCATTGGTTTAACCACCTCCTGCTAGGGGTAGGATCTCAAAGGGCAACCTTAGGATGAACCAGAAGTAAACCAACCTAGACTCCAGCTTGACTTTGAGTAAAAACTCTGTCAGAGAACCTGGCTCCCGCCTCCAGCTCTGGCACTTATATGTCATGCAAATTTCACAGCTTTGCAAGAGCTTTTGTTAAATCAAGGGCTAAACAATCCCTTAGAGCTTTCCCAGCTGTATGGTTATCAAGTATGTCCCCTTCAATTAATGAAAAACATTTTAAAAATGTGAGAACTAGAAGAGCTGGGATCTTTCATTAGATTTTCTAGAAATAATAGGTTCTTGTAAGAAACTAAGACTAATAATAGGATACTTACATTACAGGGCATTTTGAAAAGCAATTTTAAACTTAAACGTAGGTGATGGAGAAGAAATTGTAAAATACAAACTGAATTTTAAAAAATCCTAACAATTAATACATTGCACAAATTGGCTAATGTAGGAGGATGCTGAGAAAAAATGGGGGCACAGGGAGAAGCTCCATTCCTCTGACCTTTCTAAAAATCTTACAATTTGTAAGATTAGCTAGGCTTTTATTTCCATGTACTAATTTGAGTTCACTGCATACAAAGCTTGACCATGAAGACATGCAGGTAAAACAAAACAACAACAAAAAGATGTCAATGATGTTGAGTGATGTGATTTTCCCAGAAAAGTTTAAAGTTTTATTTTCCTTTAGTAAACTCTATAGAAAAATAAGTATCTGTAAGTAAGCCATCTGATAATCAAATCTTCATATAATAATTTACTTTCTTACTACTAATAGCACCTTCTGAAATAAATTTAATGCAATTATTTAAATGGACAGATAGCATTATAATAGCAATGTTTTAAAATGGACCAGTTTCACTTTCCCATCATTATGCTGACATTTCAATAATACACATTCATAGCTACAAAGCAAGCCAACATGAGTGCTCACATATTCTGAGATGTCTAATCCAGAGTTTATACTTCTGGGTGTTTGCTACCTATCATATAATTTCTCAACTTTTTAATATATAGGCCATTTCCAACTATTTAATTCTATTCTATTAAGAGGTTTTATAATGAAATAGGAATTATGTGCCAACATTCCTTACTGGTATTATTTTTAAAAATAAGACATTCATCAAATTTTAGGAAGCACTTATACTTTGTTATATTTTTAACTATGTCACTTTAGTTCACATCTAATTTGTCCTTTTTTTCTGGAATAGTTTTACAATTTTATCTACTAATTAGCCAATTGGTACATGTGTATACATAAAATCTCAATACTTTCCATGTGTCCATAAAGTGCTATTTTCTTCAAGGTAAGTCTTTTCAGGGCTTCCTCTTTCCCCTAAGAAACCACATGTAATACCATGCCTCTCCCAAACTTCTTGATTACTTACAAATCTAAAGCACAACCTCAGGTTGTTGGAATGAAAAGGACTGAGATGACCAGGCAGATCAAAAGTACTTCTACCTTGGAAGTAGAAGTCTATCTCTAAACTGGGATTCATCTTTGATTCCACTGAGCACTTCTTGAAACAGGGGTATAACACCTCAGCTCCCAGGTTTTGATACCTGTTACCACATACAGCTAGTGCTTGACTTATGACGACGGTCGGGACCGCGGACCGGTCGTAACACGATTTGGTCGTAAGTTGAGTAGGCTATATGTACGGTTGAAATGGTGCAGGTGGAGATGGTAGTGCTGCTGGAAGCTGGTCCACACTGTCGTACGCCCAGCTGGGCAACGTTTGTGCTGCCAGACATGGAGCAGTCGTGGCTAGTGATTGTGGTCGTAAAGTTGAATGGTCGTAAGTTGCATAGGTGGTAGGTCGATCAATACCTGTAGTTATTTTGCTAGTTTTTTCTAGTATACACCCTTTACCACTGTTCTGGGTGTCTTGTAAACATCTCACATGTGGTCCTGACTAATTTTTTTTCCAGGCTCCACACAGTTCTTTTCAAAGATTGAGTGGCCAATATTTTATCTAATATGGTTTGTGCTCTTTTGCAACTTTGAACCTTCAAACGATCAAATCTAAAAGATGCTTGTGCTCTGTTATTATGTGCTACCAGAAAGAAAACAAACATTGTTTTATCCAATTCGATTTTTAATGTAATTAATAGCTATTTAATTTTCAAAGGAGCAAATAATTATAAACAGGAGAAAACATTGCTGAGATGGTGCCTGATCACTGCTATTCAGGCCATTGCTGAACTACATAGGAAAAGTATATTCATGGTGTCTTCATTATTATGAAAATCACAGTAATATGACTAATTAGGAAATCACAATAATTTTATGACAAAAACAATATATTTAGAATGAATCTGTCAGTATTTGACTTTCTTTTGGGGGAAAAATAAATGAAAACCATGTTCTTGGGAAAGAAATATGACAAGAAATGCCCAACGTTGCTTTCTGTTGTTGGGCTACATCTTCAAAATTCAAGGTTCAAAGGTTATCACATTTAATTTTCAACACTTGTCACTTTCTTCTCTCAGTTTAAGCAGATATATTTCTACATCCATTATTTGGGATTATTAGAAATTTCATTCAGTTTGAACAATGAGTAACAAGTATTCTGTGACATGGGTGCCAAAAGTTGTCATTTTTAATCAAGTTAAAGATATAACTGTCCATAAAGTGCATTTCAGTTAAAGTACCCATCAGGAGAGAAATTTAAAGTGCAATAATAAGGTACTTTACATAGTGCAAAGTTGCTAAATATATACATTATATGTGCCAAGTCCAAATAAAGCAGGGTCTTATCTATCCCTATGCTACAGTGAACAATGGAGACATACTCTCACATCTTTAATCCTTTACAGGCGTAAGAATTTTGATCTGTCCGTGTGTGTGTATGTATCTAAATATGTAACTGCTTAATGGTTTCTGCAAATGTCTGAAGCTGGTGAACCAGAATTTGAAACCTTTAAACACTGACATAATTATGCAATCTCCATTTCAATATGCAATTGCACGTCAGAGTAACATTAGGCTTGTAATAATGGTTGAGCTATTTCAGCATGCATATCTGGTAAGGCAGGTATTTGACTGTGAATTAAATGTTTAATGAAAATTACAAAAAATACAATCACTAAAATACTGCCAAGAGAGACCCCTATGAGATAAGGGTATGATCCCTCTTGTTCATACTCTTCTGGTTTGACACTACCAGGGAGGAGTATAGTACTCTGTGTATAAGAGACTACCTTTGGCATTGCTGAATTGAGCAGATCCTGGACATTCCGGAATGATCCATTGTGTGGCATGGCGGTGATATTGAGGAGGTGGCACAATAGTGGGTACAAATCTGTGGAGTTCATGGCTTCTTTTGAGAAATTCTTTCTGAAGGCAGGACCATGGGCTAAAAATATTGGATGCATTTCTGCTAATGCATTATCATAACCATGGTTGCCTACTGTAAAGAGAAAATACATGAAGAAGTTAGCCTACCATGCGTTAAAATGGATATAATTGTTGAATGGTCAAGTTCTGAACTTAAATACACATCGTATCTAGTTTGACTGTAAAAATAAAATAATCTTTTACAATCTCTGCTGTAGTCCACATCACAATTCTCTCCAGGAAATGAAGAGTCAAATGATTGTGAACCTTTCTCACAAGCCAACAGTGGCTTAAGCAGCAGGGGAAGCAGGGTAAAGAACAAAGCAGAGCCAAGTTAGGGAAAAATTAGAGGGTTTTTTTTTTCTTCTGGTGGCAAAGTAATATTCAGCAAATACTTATTGGGTATCTACTGTATTCCAATTATTGTTCTAAAGTTAAAGAGATAAAGGTGTCATTAGTCTAAATCACAAGCCAATAAACTCATAGGTACCAATAAAATACAACACATAAAGAAAAACAAAAGAAACCATAAAAATCAAACCTGCACTTACATCTACAATCTACTACTAAAAAACAAAGGTCAGAGTGTAGGAGAGTAGAAAACTCTTGATTTTGGTGGCTCTAATCAGGATCCAACTTAGCATTATGTGTTTTTTGTATGGCTACAAATAAGGTAAAAACTTAGGGGTCTTCTGACATGTATCAAGTAATATGGATGTGAAATTCATAATAGATGCGTTTCCATAAAAGGCATGTGTGCCTAACATGGTATCAGGTGCAAGGCAAAGGAGCTACTGCTGATAAGATGGCATCCAAAGAAAACTGATAGGCTTTATCTTAAAGGTGGCAAGGAAAATGACTAGTAAATCCAACTCTAATAACCATACTTGCTACAGGGAGCTATGCAATAGGAACATTCCCTACCCTTATCCCCATCAAAAAAATCCTAAATCAATTTCTCTAAAAGTCATAAACTGATCCCATGTCATTTCAAAGTAATTTGAAATCTCCCAGGCAAAATGTATCTAAAGAAGTCATTCTAGATGCCATGATTCTTTTAGGTTTAAGTAAAAATAACAATGAACTTATGAATCACTAGTAATTATCTGACAGTATACTATGCTATTCCATTGATTGACAGTCACGTTGGGAATATGCCATTATATAATTTGTAATTCACTGGAGGATTGCCGTGTTCATTTCTATGAGGAAGTGGGGATCTAATTCTCACGCATGAAGGCAAAGATAATTATCACATTTCTTACTGGAAATTCAGACTTATAATTAAGTCATTGTGACTTATAGAAAACATTTCCCATGAATAGGGACTTAGTGTTGTAGTGGTAGCCCCGATCATAAATGCTTGATCAAGTAGACGGTATTTAATAATGAATGCCTGAGGGCAAATGGTTCTCAAACTTTCGTGTGTTTCACCAGGGCCTTACAGTTTCAAATTTAATAGGTCTGGGTAGAACCCAGTAATTTGCATTTCTTTTTCTTTCTTTTCGTTATTTTGGTGGCTGACTGTGGTGCCTTTTTTTGTCCTTGGAGACAGAGTTTTACTCCTGTTACCCAGGCTGGAGTGCAATGGCACCATCTCAGCTCACCGCAACCTCTGCCTCCTGGGTTCAAGCAATTCTCCTGCCTCAGCCACCCGAGTAGCTGGGACTACAGGCGTGCACCACCATGCCCAGCTAATTTCTGCATTTTTAGTAGAGACGGGGTTTCACCATGTTGACCAGATGGTCTTGATCTCTTGACCTTGTGATCCACCCGCCTCAGCCTCCCAAAGTGCTGGGATTATAGGCGTGAGCCACTGCGCCCAGCCGTGATTTGCATTTCTAACAAGCTCTCAGCTGATGTGGCTGCTGCTGGGTCAGGGAACACACTTTGAGAACCACTGCTTTGGGGCATTAGGGTTTAACTATTCTGGTTTAGGTATGCAGTGGTCAATATCTAATTAATTATTGAATCATTAAACATAATGCAATATAAATTGGAGTATTATTAAGGTTTTCTATCAAAAATAGAAGTGACCAATCTATTGTGTAATTGTAGTTCAGCACACCATTTCTAGAGGCCCCTTTGAATTTATATTAACTTTAAAATAAAAATCTTATAAAAGATAGCAGTCCTTTTTTGAGCAATCCCTCTAACATAAGAGCTACCTGCACAAGACACAAAAATCTGAACATTGGTTTATGAATCATTATCTGCAAGTGCAAACCATTTTAAGAACCAGAAACCATGTATCTGTATACATCTGCCACAAACACACTACAAATGTCATTGTCAGGCGTCTGCTTTTCTTTTAATCAAAAAACATGATAGAAACATAATTCCACCTAAAGGGACATTTTGTATATATCTTTTATATATCAAGGACCAATGTCTAAAAAAACACATTTCTAGACAGTTAAGTACTGAAACAAAACACATTTCTAAATAGTCAAGTACTGAAACATTATAGTTTCTTAACATTCAAGTAGCAGAGAGTAAAAATATTGATCAATAAACTGCTGTATTGTATGTTAAAACTGTTGTATTTTAGCAAAAAGCGATGCAGAATGGAAAGAAATACTCTATCATACTCACACAGAAAGTCATCTGACTTATTCTGTAAAATGTGCCACCCTTCATCAGCCACGGCTATGATTGGTTGAATTCGATTGTTGTATTTGTAATGCCATCTCTCTGGAATCTCTTCTTTTTTGTAAACAGTAAGATTAGGATGAGCGTGAGTTAGTGCTTCATAGACTTCATCAAATTTACCTAAAGAGAAGGGAGGAGAGGCACTCAGATCAAAATACTCATAGCTACAATCAACCAACCAAGCATGGGCAAAAGACTTGATACGAAGGTGAAGAGCCAGAGAGCTGAACATAAGAAAAAAAATATTTCCCCCTACTTGAGGAAAATAATTTTGGGAAGGGAAACTAAGAAATACTCTTCTGCTATAAGTTAGTTCTCCTTAGAATTAAGGAACAGCATTTTATAGAACCAGAAACCTCTAAAGACTTCAATACACACACACATTAATTAGTGACACTAAGTAAACGTCTAGGGTACTGCAATACCCAAAAAAAAAACAGCTAGGTTCTGGTAGTTCTGAGTGCAGACACAAAGAATCTCCAGACAGGAAAACATGGTGAGTGGTGGATTAGGACTGGGAAAAGAGACTGGAGGTGGAAACTGGTTTGTAAAATGGAAACACCTGAAAACACTGGAGGTGTTGCCAAAGTACTCCCTGTAACTACAAATGCAGTTACCTGGGCACTGTCCTTCCTCCTCCTGCTTTTCAAATCCGTTTCATCATTACCTTCCACACCCCAACAAGAGGACATCATTCCAATTTTATAAGGGAAATTGAAGGGTTAATGTAATTTCCCTCCCTCCCTTCCTGTCTTCCTTCCTTCTCTTCCTTCCTTTTCTCTCTCTCTCTTTCCTTCTTTTCTCTTTTTTCTCTTTCCTTTCTTTCCTTTTTTCCTTCCTTCCTTCTCTCTTTCTTTTCTATTTTTCTTTCCTCTCTCTCTTCTCTCTCTCTCCCCCTTCTTTCCTCCCTCCCTCCCTCTCTCTCTTTCTCTCTTTCAACTAGGTCTCCCTGTCACCCAAGCTGCAGTGCAGTGATGTGATCATGGCTTACTATAACCTGGAACTCCTGGGCTCAAGCAATCCTTCCCCATCAGCTTGGGACTACAGGTGTGTGCCACCATGCCAGGCTATTTTTTATTTTTGTTTTTTAGCAACAGTGTCTTGCTGTTTCCTAGGCTGGCCTCGAACTCCTGGCCTCAAGTGACCCTACTGCCTCTGCCTCCCAAAGTGCTGAGATTATAGGCTTGAACAGTTACCCTCAGCTAATTTTCTTGAACAACAAGAAAAAAAATGTGCTGTTTGCTGAAAACTGTGTGTATAAAACACATGCATATTTTAACATTTGCTGTTTCATACAATTCTCCTAATTTCTCTCTGAGGGATGGAATTCTCATTTGTGAGATATTATAGCTTTTCCAAATCTGTTCTGTCATTTGATACCTAAGACCAACCCTTTGAGGTGATAAAATATGTCAAAGAGCAGGCCTGAGTTTTGTTGTCACTTATTTTGTGACCTCGGGATATTAAACCTTTTCATTTACCTGTCATTTGCCTGTCTTTAAAATGGAGACAATGCTGAGGTGACAGGTTTGGTATAAGGATTCCAGGGGAGGTTTGTAAGAAGTTTAAGGTATTGCTATTACATTCCATACTTATAAGGAAAATACAGCTCAGATTGACCAAAGCTCTTCCTCCTTCTTATCCTCTACAGCTTCCATGTTAAGCAGGTCCAAATTAGGAGTCTACAAAAGTCTTTGGGGCTTCTATGAAATAACTGTACATGTATTCAAGTTTTGTATGTATCTTTCCATCTCAGTTTTTCTGAGAAGGGAGGCTATAGCTTTCATCATATTCTATAATTCCAAAACGGTTAAAATTTACTGCCATTATGTATCTAGAGCAGATCAATTTCAGTATTCTAGGAAAAAGGAAAAAAATTAGGCTTTGAGAAAGGAGATTTTTGTCTTTTCAGAGTCTGAGAATTAAAGCCCAGAACATTACCACGACACAGGCAAGTCTACTTTAAAGGCACAGCAATAGAAATCCCTATTCATTTGATCACACTGGGCCAGTGCACATCTAGCCTCAGCTCACCATTCAGTCAGCCTTACCTTCTTTTGGCAAGATGGCTGCCACTGGAGATTGATCAACCAGGGTATAGTGGTCTTTATCCACGTACTGGTCAAGCTCTATTACTCTTTCCTCAGAGCACTGGGTCATTCCATGATCACTTGTGATGATTAGGTTCAGACTGTTCCATAACTTTGCCTTTCTTAGCATTCGTATGAGATATCCTAACTTGTTGTCAATATCTGCAATGACAGGCCCCATGAGCGGACTGTCAGGTCCCAGATGGTGACCCATATCATCAGGATCTTCCCAATAGAGAAGACCAAGATTTATGGGCTCTTTTGATGTAAACCATTCAATAATTTTGGCAACTCTATCTTCAAATGAAACTGACTCATTGTAAGGCATGTAATGAGTAGGAAAGCTCTTATGTATTTTTACATCTGTTCCGGGCCACATGGCTGCACCACTAGTGTGTCCTGCCCTCTGATTTGTAATCCATATCGGTGTCGCTTCTTCCCAAAACTTGGAATCATAAATATTCATGTGATCCAAGGAGAAGGATTTGTTCTGAATAGGATCAAACATATCATTTGCAACAATCCCATGATTCTCTGCAAAGAGGCCAGTTACCAAAGTATAATGGTTAGGGTAGGTTTTTGTAATAAAAACATTAGTAACTTGCTTCACGTGAACACCATATTTCATAACATAATAAAAATGGGGAGTTGGAACTTTATATAAATAATCCCAACGGAATCCATCAAAAGAAACTAGTAGAACCTTTTGCTGGTCTGGTTGGAGGGAAAAGGTGGTTGAAAGACTCAGCGCAGCAAGTGTGAAGGACACCAAGAGAAATTTTGAAGTCATTTTCCAAGTACTTGATCAGTTCAGTGTAAGATAATCTGCAGAATAAACATATAGATATTAATGGCAATAATTTTGTTTTGTATACTTTACCCCAAACTCAGAGTAATCGTGTTTAGCAATCTCAGTTATATCATAAATCACAGCCTGGAGGAATTATGTCATCCGACCCCATCTTAGACAAGAGACTTGGAGCTACATGAATAATAAAGCTAATAAGTTTAGTTGCATTTAAACAACTTTTTCACTTCTGAGAATTTATCTAAATATCCCTCAAAGGAATTATTTAAGTGAGCTCTCCAATAGTATTTTAAAATATGATATCATTTACGTAAAACTTTGTAGAAACATTTTTCAGTTTGATCCAGACTTTTGGCTCTGGTCAGAAACATTTTTATAGTCAAATACCTGTGAACATACTTACCATTATGGCTAGACCAATTATGGCAACATAGCAACAATAAAGTGTCACCAGCAAATTGAATAATGGTGCTTATATATATGTATATATGTATATGCACCCTTTTATTTTCAACCCCTATATTTGGTTCATCACAGGTAAAAGAAGTATTTCTAAAGAGAGGAAAATAGATGAATTTGGTTTCTTGAAGTGTAATAACATTTGTGACATCCAGATATATTTATTGAAAAATAATCTGCTTTCATTTATTAATAATCAAATCACAGCCTTCTTTAAACAATTAGATTCTAAACTAAATATTAACAGAAATACAATTCTGAAATTTGTTGTTGACTTTCCTAATGTTAAAATTAGTGAAAATTTAATCTTATCATTGATATGTATAGAAAAAGCACCTCCCTGGTTTAAATCTCTTTGGATCAAGATAGTTTGTTGAACTTTTCCCCTAATCTGTGTATATTTGTAAAATGCTTTCATTTTATTGGAGAAAGCTAATAAGATGCTGTATGGATAAACAATAGATATGTAAATTTTGTCAGTTTTCATCAGGCTTGCACATCAAGCAAGGATCTTTTTTTCTCTCCTTTTTCTGTCCATTCCTGCATGAAGGCATTTATAAACCCATCAAAACTTAGATCAAACCATACTTTGTACAAATAAATCTCTTGAAACTGGCTTTTGATGTCTCCCTAATCTGAACATGAAGACATTTTTAAACTTCAAAAGTATATCCTGTTTCACCTTACTATATTATAAGTATAGGTAAATAAAAACTATTTGGCATGCTTGCTTTGCTTCCAGGAGTACGAGGCATATGTACATTATGGGTATTGGCTGAGGGCAATAATTTCTGGTTTGCTGGTTTTAAACTGTGCTTTCGCTGTACCTAGACATTTCTTACACTGAAAACTTTTTAGGTATTGGTCTCAAGACAATGGTTCAAACATTATATTTAAAAACAATTTATTAGATGGCAATACTTTCTCCGATTCTGGTAGGAACATTAAAAATAGTTGCAGCAGAGAATAGCAAATAGGTTACTGCAAATACATTTACTTACTCACAGATCTGTCTATGAATGATAGTTGCTCTCTCTGTCCTTTTTAATTTTCTCTCCCACCTTTTTAAAACAAGGCCGGCTAGTATCAACCAACTGTAATTTAAAGCTAAATTACATGGAACACCTGATTTTCTTCTGTCTTAGCAAATTAATTCAGCAGGAGAAAACTGTGTAAGCAGGAGAAAACTACTTTCCTGGGACCAACAAAAGCAAGCAGAGATTAACGGTTGTCTAAAGCTTAGGAATGTTTGGCAAGAAGACCCAACATCAGGTGGGGGATGGGGAATGAAAACAATTAGATTTTTTTTCTATTTCGTGCCCAAAATGCTGCACAAAACAGTGGAATCCGTGGATCTGTCCCCAAATTTCACTGGGTATTTTCCAGTTCTTTCTCCCCTCCAGCCCTTCCTCTACAGACAGACTTGGAGATCAGGAGGGAAGGGGCGCCAATTAAAGGGAAGAAGGAAAGTGCAGATGGAATAGGTTTGTGTATGTAGATCAAGTAGACACATGGGGAAGGGGCGGGGGTCCGTCGTTTCCACCTGGATTCCATTCTAGCCGCTACCCAGAAGGGTCGAGACGAAGGGTACGTTCCCAATTTCCAGTAATCCGGCCCACCGAGGCCTGCGGATGCCTCAACGTGGGCTTTTAAGGTGGGCAGTGGCAAGGAGGGGGCGTTGCTTTGGGGGCCCAGAGGAGCCGTGTGGGTCCCCGGGAGGGAAGCCGCCCACCTTCCTGGACTCACCCTCGCAGCGATCTGGTCAGTCCGTGTTAGTTTGGGGTAATGGCGGGGAGGTGACCGGAGGGAGGGGCGCCCCCAGATCGCGCAGCAGCTCACCTGCACGCAACCCCGGCGCGGAGCACCTGACCGCCCCGCCCCCCGCCGCGCCTCTTGGCTCCTATTGGCCCTCCCCGGGTTGTCCCCGAAAGCCAGGGGTCCAGGAGTAGGTGCATGGCCTGTCAATCAGCGGGACAGGGGCGGGCGCTGCCTGGGTTTGGAGGGTGAAGGGGAGGGGACCCGCGGGAGCCAGGACCCAGCTGGGAGGCCGGAGGGGTGGACAGGCCAACTGCCTGGTCACACACAAAACCTTCCTGCAATGTGCCTCTTCCAGAGGACCAACCGTGCTGGAGTCAGTGATGCTGAGAGATTATTACGTCCTACCCCAATGGTGGGTGTACTCTATCACCATCTGTTTTTCGTTTAAAAGCGACTTGTATTCTCTGATTTCTTATCTCGGGTTTTTTTCTGCTGCCCGTCCCCCGCCCCTCGTGTCACGAGTTGGCGATGGGCACACCATGGGCTTTGCTCTGAGGAACACCTGCACACCCGAGGTTGCCAGTGGGACGATGATGTTTCATTCTTTTAATTAGTGGGTGTTATCTGCTTTAACTCGACAGAATTTACTAATCTAGTCAACTCTGAAGCCCCAACGTTTGTTGTCCAGGTTTTTGCAATTGAGGTCCCTGAAGTATATTTGTGGTATATCCAGCAAGGCAACTGATATTATGCGAAATAAATCAAGCCAGGTTCAGGATTGGGTTAATTTGCACAAGAGAGAGGTGGAACAGCTACCCTCTCTGATGGTGGCATCTGAGCTAGACTCTGCTTCTACCTTTTTTTTTTTTTTTTTTTTTTTTTTGCAAATAGGCATTAAAACTACAAACGTAAGGCCTGATTTCTCTTTCAAAAAGCCTTCAGTGCTTCTGGTCTGTTAGTGGCCCTATTTTGTCTTTTTTGGTACTGTAGTGGATTATTTTCTCATTTGGGGGGGTAATCAACGGCATTTTTAGGCCGTTTTTAGACTTGGGCAAGTAATTACTTTGCCAGTATGATTCCAACTGTCTTTACCATAAATTATAGCAGTGATATCAAACTACCCTAAAATAATTTGTCCATCTATACAACTCCAGCCAGAATTCTAACCTAATTAGAATTCTAGTTCTCTCTGCAGCAGGCAATTATATCGGGCTGATTGTTACAATGTAAGTTTAACATCTGATTAGCTGGTGAAACTGGGAGCATGTGGTTTTGGCTCCTGCCTGGAGCTTTAAAGTGAATAAATATTTCTGTTGATATTTAATTAAACAATGCAAACATTTTGGTCATAGCTTTTTCTCTGTCTGCTTTTAATAGAGGGACAGTCTCAACCTCTAACACTGCTACCTCCTAACTGGGTCATCCCATCCCGAAGGGCATCTGGGCACACTTCCATGGCCTTTTATTTGTGGTAACTTGAGTTTATGGTTTTCAACACGTGGGATGGGGATTAAGAGGGAGGCTGGTTTCTGTGTTTAGCGAGACCCAAAGACAATGAAGTTGAACAAGTTGTTCCAATTCCCCAAAGCCCTGTCCTTTGAAATTGCCCAAATTTGGAACAGAGTGGTCCAGTCTTTTAAGTTCTTGTCTCTCAAAAATAGGTCAACTCTGTGCTCTCCTCAAACACTCAAAGTACAATGTATGCTTATCAGAGAGCAGGAGCATTGAAAATGGGCCTGACTTTTGTTCGGGTTACTGAACATTGTTGGACTCTGGACAACCTGATTTGCTCTGCAAACCTAATGGACGTCATGATTGTATTCACTAGCTATCCCTGTGAAATAGGCATGGTACAGCTGTTAACCACAGTGCACAACACAGAAAAGTGTTCATAAGAGGCTCAGCTAGTGCCAGACTTCTAGTGCCCAGAAGTCCATATAATGACACTAATGTTCACCTAGTAGGCTTGTGTTGTCACCTTATGTTGTCCATGGGAAGAAAGTCTGGTTACATAGTATAGAGGAATGAATATAAAAACATGGGATTCCTGCTCACACATCTGTACCTGCCCTCCTGTCTTACTGTTGCCTCAATATCTGTCTAGTTGCAATAGGTTTTCAGAAAGTTTTAGCCTCAGTACATACAATAGCAGTACATACATTGATATTGACTGTAACGATTCTTTTATTCCCTGTTATTGAATTAGTGGAATTATAATTGAATAATAGCATAACAGAATAACCAACTTCTTTCTTTCAAAGGTTTTGGGGTGGGGTGGGGTGTGGAGGGAGATCTCTCTGCCTGCCCAATGAAGTCTAATAGGGATTTGAGAGCTGGATGATTTTCTTTGTCAGGGGCTGGGAGAGCTTTGTGCTAAAACTGAAATGTGATCTGTTCTTTTGAAACAACCCAAACTGGCTTTACCACAGAAGTCTTGTTTTCAGAACTAGACTTCATGGTAGGCAAAATAAACACAAAATTTTACAATTAAAAATCTTTAAAGGTACATTCCACTACGTTATACTACAAATGACTGAAGTAAAAGAAAGTTCATCTCTTAATCCTTTATAGAACATTCTGCAAAATGTGGGTCTCACATATTCAATAGCCATAGGTGGGCACCACTGGGATTCTTGTTCTGGACTGCTCTTAATTCATGATAAACAGTGGTCTTCACTAATATTGACTCATTAGCAGAAGTTCAGTCCAATGAGTAAAATGTTGAATTATAGAATAGTCAAAAACTTAGCCCAAGAATTTTTATGCATATTAGTAAGTTAGGCTTCTAGTGATATACTTGTACTAATTAGAATGCATTTTATACAAATTATTATTATGCTTTTATCCTCAGAAAGCTTTACACAAGTCAAATATAGACCTATTTGTATTGTTGTATTCTGTAAATTGTATTCATAGTGTGTTAGTTCTAGGACTATGGTTCTGGAGGCCAGAAGTCTGAAATCAAGATGTATTCAGGGCCATGCTCTCTCCGAGATGCTAAGTAAGAATCCTTGCTTGCCCCTAACAGCTGCTGGGGATTCTGGTCTTCCTTGGCTTGCTGCAGCATAACTTCAATCTCTGCCTCTACTGTCACAAGATACTCTCCTCTGTGTGTCTCTATGACACATGGCCTTCTTATAAGGACACCAGCCATTTGGATTAAGGCCCACTTCAACCCAGTATGCCCTCATCTAAATTCAATTACATATGCAAAGATCTTAGTTCCAAATAAGGTCACATTCTGAGGTTCCAGGTGAATGTGTGTTTCAGAAGGATACTTATTCAACCCAGTACTAGCAGAAAGTTTAATTTTATGGCCCAGCCTAGATAGAAAGTTCATGGATTACTAATAAAATGGCTCAAATCAAGGTAACTGACAACATCTGGTACTGACAAGGATTCAGAGCTATCATACATTGCTGGGCTATCATACACTGTTGGTGGGAATGACTTCCACTGTGGCAGTCAATTTGGAAGTTTCTCATAAAGTTAAATATACACATATTATACAACCCAGGAATCTCACTCCTAGGTATTTACGAGAAACAAAGACAGATATCCACTGAAAAACTTATCAACAAACTTTCACAGCAGCTTTATTCATAATCATGAAAAGCTAGAAACCACCAAAATGTCCCTGAACTAATGAATAAACAAATTGTAGTGTCTCCAAAAGTGCAATACTGTTTTGGCAATAAGAAGGAATAGAGAACTGTTGCATGCAACAACACGGATGAGTCTCAAAAGCATTTTTCTAGGTGAACAAAGCCAGACATAAATGGTCATACACTGTATGATTCCATTTACATGAAATTCTAGAAAAGGAAAAACAGTGGGAATGGAAACCAGATCAGCAGCTGCCAGGGACTGGTGGTAAGGAGAGGGGATTGGCTAGAAAGGGGCACAAAGAATTTTTTTATGTGATAGAATTTCGATGTATCACTAATTTGTCAAAATTCAGAGAACAATGTGCCAAAACTTTAATTTTACTTCGTGGAAATTATACCTCAGTAAACAGCAGCAACAACAAATAAACCCTGCTCTGCAATCATCCCCTGCACCCCACCAAAGTTCACGAATTAGTGTTGGTGGCGTTTGACTCTAAGTGACCTTTTCCTGTGTGCATGGGAGCAAACCAGTTCTTCCTGCTTTGTCACCTAGTCTGAAGTGTAGTGATGTGATCTCAGCTCTCTGCAACCTCTGCCTCCCAGGTTCAAGCAATCCTCCTGCCTCAGCCTCCCAAGTAGCTGTGACTACAGGCACCTGCCACCACACCCAGCTAATTTTTGTATTTTGTGGATCATGAGGTCAGGAGTTCAAGACCAGCCTGGCCAACATGGTGAAACCCCATCTCTACTAAAAATATTTTCTAGGCTATAACTGAATGTCACTTGTTGAATAACTAACTCAGTGTAGGATGCAGTAATATAGCAGGAGAGATGGTCATCTTTTGGTATTTGGTTTAAGGCCTATTTTGTAAGACATATTCTCAGGAGCCAAATATGAAACTACACATGTATTTGTGGTGTATAGAATGAAAACATTTCATCAAAACCACATTATCAGTTCTTCGTAAAGCACATAACATCCCTTAGATGCCCGAACATACTTAGTTTAACATCACTACCTAAAAAGTTATTGGCTCCTCATGGATATTATAATTCTATAAATTTACTAGCAGTGGGGGAGGACCTAAAAATATTGTCCTCCATCCAGATAAAAGAGACATTTTTCCACTCTAGGTATTGTATTTAAAGTGTAAATGTAAATATTCTTTGCAACCATTTTGTAGCTTGAGGATGCACCAAGGAATTCTTTGGTAAATGTGAATCTTTATGAACAGGTCAAGCAGGCAGCAACTGCTTTATGCCTTTAAGGCATTCTTGGCAAGGAAGGGTTGGAGGCGTCATGAGAGAATTATCCCTGCCCAATTCCTGGATAGTTACAATTTCATAATTTCATGATCGGAAGTTAATCTCTTAGCCTTAAGGGGTTTCTCCCAGGAACGATGTCATATGCATCTCTTTTAGCTATTTATATATACGTGTGTGACCCAGTTTATCAGATTTGCTCCAACTTGCATAATTGGTTGGGGAGAAAAGCCCTTAGAGGAATAAAGGTGGGTATTGTCTTTTAAAGGTG